CTCAGTGAGCAAACTACTATTTTTAAAGGCTGACTCCAATTAGCTTCCAGTTACCTTATAGACTTTCCCACATTTCTTGGACAAAAAAGAAAAAAAAAAAAAAGCAGTTTAATCAGATTTGTAATTTTTAATTGTAATTCAGAGCATCACTTTAGAGAAAGCACAGCATCTACCCTTTAGTGGAAAGAGCCAAAAGCTTTACCAGAGTTCTCCAGCCCTAAAGCTGCTGTTACACCCTGACTAAGTACCTCATTTTAGTAGAAAGGGTCTTTCACACACAGAGACTGCTTACAATGCCTTTTTTTGTTTTTGGAGGGAAGGAGTGGGAGGACAATAGGGCCCTTAATGTGCAGTGACATCACTTTTGGCTGCAGTCCTACCATCCAGCCTAAAACCAGCAGACAGAAGCCCTCCACAGGGCCTTGCTCCGGAGCCACTGACTTTCAGAAGGAGCCACGGCAAGCATGGAAGGCTGCCTCCAACACCAGCAGGGACCTGCAGTTCACATAACCACATAACCTGTCAAAGACATGACTGCCACAAAGACACCTGCTTGCTTTACTGTGCTCTGCCCAGTGCTCTTCTGCCGAGTTACAGCTCTTGGGCTTTCAGCCAAACAGGTTAGGAGCAGAGCCTGGAGCGAGCCAGCTCAGTGCTCAACTGTGCGGCTGAGCCCCTCTGCAGAGCCCCCAGCCCAGAGCACAGCACGCTGCCTTGCCTGGGGCAGACACGGGGCAGGAGCTCAGACAGCACCCGAGCCAAGCTGGATCCAGCAAAGCCAGTTAACCCTGGGGAAACCGATCTGTCCAGATTGTTCAACTGTCACTGCCTTGAGAGCAGGCCATGTCTCCAGGCCAAGGTTAAGGGAGAGAAAATGTTTCACAGTCTAACGGCTAACAGAACAGCCAATGTGAAGGACAGAGCAGCAGGAAAGACTTGCAGGAAATGTACATTTACCCACGCACACACTGACAATTCTCTAGAATCATTACGATTGGAGAGACCCCTAAGATCAACTAGTCCAACGATCAACCCAGCACCAAGCCCACAAACAACATCCCTAAGTGTTCACTGGAACAGGCTGCCCAAGGAGGTTGTGGATGCCCCATCCCTGGAGGCATTCAAGGCCAGGCTGGATGTGGCTCTGGGCAGCCTGGTCTGGTGGTTGGCGACCCTGCACATAGCAAGAGGTTGAAACTGGATGATCATTGTGGTCCTTTTCAACCCAGGCCATTCTATGATTCTGTGATTCGAAGTGCTACATACAACTTTTTCAGGAAAATCTCCAGGGACACAAACTCCACCACCTCCCTGGGCAAGACGGCTGCTGGCTACCAACCAAAAGGAGAATCAGGCACGCTGTGTAATCTTGAGAAGAGATGGTTCTCAGTCTCAAAAACTTACAATCTGGATCTACAACTACTTTTCCTGGCTTCCAGATGGAGTCAAAGACACAAAAAAAAAGCAACAAAAAGAGCAGCAAGGACAGGATTCCTCTATTCCTCTTCCCTAACTTAAGAAGCTGACTTCAAAGACTGTCCAATCAATGGGGAATGGCAGACACCTCCACAGAAAGCTCAGTTCCAGCTCTAGACACCCCATCCCTAACAAAGGGACAGAAGAAAAAGGCAACAGGCTTGTGTTCAGACACCTAAAAGCTGTTAGCAGAAAAATAACTCTGCCCTGTCTGGCCAGAGAGGCAGAGGCCCAGGATAGGGTGGGAAGCTGTTTGAAGTCTCCGAAAGCCTCAGGGTAACTCCAGCATTACCTGTTGCGTGCAAGCAGCGAGTGTATCAGCTACACATCTTTGTCAGACTCATCAGACTACGCTTCCACCCAACTGGGACTGCTCCCGAGAAGCTGTGCTGACTTTCCTAAATACCCAATTCAACAGTTCACCACTTTGTCAGCTATATCCCCTTTTGAAACCTGGTCATCTTCTCCACACCCTCAGCTCCCTTCACCGCCTCAGAGCAGGGAAACTTCAGATCCCGGGCCCTTTTCCAGTTCAAACACATTTGCAAAAGCCACAGAGCACTTGCTGCACTGCTATTCCACAGGCTGGCCATTTCCAGCGACTTCTGTGCTGTCCTGAAGGAACAGAAGAGGGCAGAGAGGAGCCACTAAAAAGAAGTACAGAATATCTTTGAAATCCAGAGACAGAAGATCTTTGAAATCCCAGAGTGGGAAAAGCCTGTTGTATGTGAAATACTCCTGTCCCCGCACACATGGGATGACCTAAGAGCACACAGATGCAGCCAGGTACACGACTTTAATTGCTTCAAGCAGGACCTGCCTGCTGCAGCTCATGTCCAGTGCCCTGGAATCGCACTTAGCTCTCTGAACTGGGAAATACTCTTTCCTGGTGAGAAACACTCACTGATGAGTGCTTCCAGCCTCCAGCAACGCATCTGCACATCTTCCTTCATACAGAGTGAACACAGTTATTATTACTTGAAAAGTGTTTTTTTCACCAGGAAGTTGTGCATTACCAACTCGTCAGTGTCCTCAGGGGATCAGCAAACCATTCTCCTATGGAGCAAGGTGACAGAGAGCATGGATAAAGTGGTGGTAGAGACCTGATGCTCCTGCAGAGCCCCACACAGCAAGGGTTAGCACAAGAAAAAAAGGCAAATTCTCGTAAGACTCTGGTCCCAGAGCTGCTAGGGACAATTTCTTGAGAAGATACACCATTTCTGCCTTAGGACTTTTTGACATGCACCCAGAGTCCTGGGTCCCTATATGAGTAATTGCATCAGAAACCTCAGATGCACAGCCCTGCACCACTGTACTGTGCTGTACAGGACCAGATCCTTCCTACAGCAAACTGGAATCAAGAGCAAGAGGGAAAGGAGAGAAGAAGCAACTCCAAAAGAATCTTCTGGCTCTAGCCCAGGTAACTCCAGGGCTCAGGAAACAAGTTTCTAATAATCAAGGCTTGCTAGCTGGTTAAACATAGTCTCTATGCAACACTGCTGTTATTAAACACAAGACAGTATTTATTACTGCAAAAGACTTTCTGCAGCATCAGAAATTCAGCTCACTTTATTCTCTGTTCCTCATATGCTTTAAGACTATTGTTTGAGGAAGAAAAAAAAGAAAGGAGATTGGGAGAGTGCGAGAAAGAGCACACGTGTATGCAAGGTAAATGAACCATGCAATAAAGATTGTTGAAATTGGCTCAGGCATCTCTTGATAAGATCAGAGGAGTTGAGAAAGAGCTGCAGCTCATGGATGAGAAATCCAACCACTGACAAAACGCATCCGCTAAGGGAAAAAAGCTGAATAGACATTTAAACACACAGAACACTTGTTAAAAATAAGACTTGGGTCCAGAGTATTTGTCTTAAGATCCGGATTCCAGGAGGTATGAATGGTGCCTTCTCCATATTCACACAAACCAGCACAGAAAGCACATGGATACTGTGCTGTTAGGAAGGAAATTTGTCTTACAGAGCCATAAAACCAGCCTCAGTCACAACTTCCCATACCAATTAATCCCATAAAAATTAGCCATGACATGAAATTCAACTTTGAGGATCCTCAGACATTTTCAAGCTGTTATTGGTAATTTTACTATGAGCCTGCAATAACTAAGCTACTCATTCAGGTGCCTGTAGAGCAGCTGGGCAATAAACACCTGCACCAGCTTCAAAATAGATACACTCAAATTCATCAGTTACGTGCTGACAAACCTGTTTAAAAGGTTTGGTTCATCTTTTGGTTCACCTCGATGAATACTGCTGTGCCCACTAAAACCAGAGACTCTGCCTGGACATGCCACGGATGACACAGTGGAGCTGTTAAACAGTTTGCTCCTCTGATCACAGAGAAAACACCGAATGCTGAGCATCTACATTGATCTGCTCATTGCCAGTTTGCTAGGACTGCCCTGAGGGGTAAAATCAGAAGATAATTACTAGGCTGTCAGCTGGTGGGACAGGATAGCTTTCCTCAGGATGGCCGCCCAGCATCAGTTCTATGTCCTGCTCTTGTTATGCTCTCGTGCAGCATAGAGTAAAGCTTGCAATAGCAACAAGCTCAGTGCAGCAACATTTCATGCCTCTTGTAGAGCACAGCAGCACACACAGCTCTAGAAAGACCTTTGCATTTGCTGCCCAGAGCTCCAAGGTGCCCCGTAGAAGGGCTTTCCCTACACACGGCACTGCTGTCCCCAGCAGCTCTCCTCACAATGATGGCAACTAGCACAAGATACTAGCAAGAGAACAGTCAGTCCACAAAAAACAAAGGATACACTTCCCACATTTTGAAGAAAACCCTGTACTGTCAGCACAGGCAATAAAGAAATTCTCCAAAGACGACTTCTGTACTCAACTCCAGCAACAAAGTGCAGAAAATGACTTGGGAACTGAGGATACTGCATTCTCTCTTACCTGCTATCATGCTAGCCAGAAGACACGAGTCCCTTCCAAATAATGGAACGGCTTCATACAGCCACAGTTCTCTACAAACTAGGAAAGCTGCCTGTACACATCTACTGTAGTGCCCAAAGTTTGGCAAAAAGATGAAAACAAAGTTCACCGGGAGGCTGCTCTAACTTTAAATAGGTCACGGTGCATTGGAATCTGTGCTCTCAGCAACACATGCTGTTAGCTCAACAACAGCAGCTACTCCTTCAATACGAGCCCATCATCACAGCCTTAACTCCTGAGAAATTGTCCTCCCTGCTTCCTACCAAGGGCATAGACTGCCCCTGAGTCCAGTTACACTCAATCCCACCCCTGGTACCATTTCATCTGCTCTGGAAAAGTTCAGTGCCTCCTTTTGTCGGTACTTGTCTTTCAGCAGACAATTCTGCCAAGAATCTTAGAGCAGTTGCACATAGAAACCCTCTTAAGAAACAGCCAGGAGGTTTTGCCTAATATAAGAGCGTAAACAAACTTGTTACATGCTAATCACTGGGTAGGCCACACACCCTTCTCCTCCCCCCACGCCGTGAATCTCCTGAAAGGACAGGAAATAAAACCATGGTCACATACCTTTGCTTCCTCGTTGATGTCCCAGGTGAAGGAGATGGCATTGTATGCGATCTCTTCAATGTTACTGATGGTGTTGAAGCTCTCCTTGTAGTCAGCTATTAGAAAAAAAAGAAGGGTGAGGGAGAAGAAGAGGTGATACCGCCCGGAGTTCTTAACACATACACAGCAGCAAAAAGCTGCACCTCCTCAGCAACACCTTGGGGGCAAAGGAAGGTGAATCGTATTTAAGAATGGATCACTAGAAGTCAGGAAATGACTCCCAGACCAAAAACCAAACAAACAAACAAAAAAAAATAACCAACATAAAACCAAAACCCTATGCAGGTTGGAAAACGGGGCACTCACAGAAAATCCTAACTAGAAACTCCAGTGAGAAAGGCAGACATAATTGATATTGCATGTCCTGAGTCATAAGCTGCTACACAGGGGAAACTCTGGACAGCAATGGTAAAAGCTCTCAATAAAACTCATCCAATAACAAACAAAGATTTGCATGTACGTCTGCTTTAAGTGCCAAGTGATTAATCCCTGCTTTTATTCACAGAAGGAAGACTCAGAACAACCCAGCTTTCTGCCAGAGAAGTTTGGAAGGTGGCCAACCACAGCCTTATCTAGAGGCAAGAGGAAATTTGCAGCATTTTCCTTTTTTGTCCGTGAACCAAAGGCCAGTTGTGAGCAAATCTCACTAGAGTTGAGGTACTTCTCCACAAGGATCTTTACCCTTTGAAGAAATACAACATCTAGGACAGCCACAGAGTCTATAAGATGCAATCTAGCTACAGCTACCAAGATTCATGCCAAAAGCAACTGTAATCTGGAGAGAGTCATCAGATCACCCAACACAGGTCTTCAAACTCAACTCATTCATGAACCAAAAAGAACCTTCCAGAAACCCAGTCTCTGTAAGGAATCCTAAAAACCACATTAACTCAATTAGAAGCACCCTCCAGTCCTTCAGAAAAGTTACAGAATTGAAGGCATAATGCAAGTAACAAAGCTTTAGCAGAAAATCCATGCCAACGAATTAAGTTTGGAGTTTGACATCAGCAAGAAGTGTTCCTTTACCTATGTCAATGCATCTTTGTTTGGCTGTGTGTTGTCTTGAGTGCCAGTATTTCCAGTGCCGGAGCTGATCTTCTCTTGTTTTGTCTTCAGCAAACACTACCATAATGACACTCTAAAAGGAGAGGGCAGAAGATTAAAGAAAATAAAACACAAACACACAAGAGAGAAAAGGCCACAGAGTACATTTGTTTTGGAAGTTCTCCTTGGTATCAAGTTTTCCGCATTAGGCTTTCCAAAGTAATGCAGTGCAGTACACCTGACACGCAACAGGAAGGCAGACAGCAGCATTTTCTGGGTCATAAACAGATGAGCAGAACTGCCCTCCTAACTGGAGTTCATGAATCTCATTCCAGGTGTTGCATCACTTTTACACAAGTGCTGACAACGCTTCTTAGCAGACTAAGCCAAGATAGGTTGGCCTGGAAGTAGGTGGACAGCAAAGGAATGAACATTGACGTAACAGAGCTGGTAAGCTGCCCTTAGTGCTGATACTCTGGTTTAGATTACAGCGCTTTGGGAGAGTTTAAGGCTACCAACATACACACCCCTCTTTCCCAAGAAACCACAAGAACTGCCACTCACACGGACTTTACTGATGGGGTGATGGATTCCTTCACTGCTGCTGACTTCTTTGAGTGTGATTGGATAAAACTGACCCTTATTTAGGTAAGTCATCGTGCTGTCCCCAGGCTTCTGTCGGAGGGACTTGGAGGCTTCCAGAGTGTATTCAAAGTTATTCCTGCAAAGCAAAGATGGCAGTGATTGGTAAGGCACTTTCCTGGAAAGCTGATTAAACGTTCTACATTTAATTTGGAGAAATTCCAAAGTCATTAGTTGACTCACTAAGCCATCAACAGGCAAGGAGGCTGGAAAACAGGATGAGCCCCTTCTCAAACTACGTCCTTCATGAATGAAGACTTAAAGAGAAATTCTTTGCAAGCTAAATCGCAAGTCACAGCAGGAGGCAAGTCTAGAAACTCCTTATTCCATCTCAGAGCAGTAAGCTGCTCTCATGGAAAAGGAAACTACTAGCAACTGATTCACAAGCTAACAAGCTCTTCAATGGCCACAGTTTCCTCTTCTCTCTTGATCAACTGCAACTAACCTAACAACTATGTTATCCTCCTTCACCAAAGTTCACAAAAGTTTCATGCTTCCTACTTCTGCTGCAGGTTTCCAGCAGGGAGAGAGGAAAGCAAGAAGGCAAGGAAGTGCATGGAAGCCAGCTGAGATCATTGCCAAACTGACAAGACAGCGCTGCACCTCCTTATGGAATAGGAAGTCCTTACAAGGACAGCAACTGAAACAGGGTGCTGTTTCCAATCCCACAGGTATTTTTAATTAAAGATGTAGGCACAATTTTGAACTATGAAACAAGCAAGTACTGTGCGTGCTTCTGAATTCTACAGTCCCCAGTGCCTGACAGAGATTCAGTGCAGAAGGGAGCAAGCTTGGCCAAACCAATGCTAAGAAAACAATAAGGAAAGGACTGAGAGGGAGGCTTGAAGCATTACCCAGAAATACTGTCAAAAACATAATCTTCTGAGTTCATGTTGGCCATCCGCAGATTCAATTCAGCAGGAAAGAAAACCTGGGGTAGACAAAAAACAAAACAACAACTAACACAGCAGCAACAACAAAATTCAAGATTATACAGATAGGTGTTATCACAGACAGAACTGATCACCAGGTAACAATTGATTTCTGGTCTGTGAAACAGGATGCTGGAGCAGGATTTCAATCAAAAACTTTTGGGTGCCAGTTCAGCACAACATCTCACACGTCTTCTTAGTCAGATTATGGCAATGTTTTAAAGCTTCCCCAAATCTCAAAGAAAGAGCACAGCTATGTCCTCAGTGCATGTCTTTAAAATAAATAAATTCAAAACAAATCAAGACAAATCTCTTGTCAGTTGGTAAGACAAAACAAAACACATGGATTTTCATCCAACTTCACCTCACAGTCAAGGACCTTACTACTGTTTTCCACACGCTACACCTAGAAACTAGCAGCGATGGAGCTTATAAGCAGTCCCTTCAGCTTGGTATCTGCACAGGCCCTGCCGAGCACTGAACTCTTTCTTGCAAAACAGAGCCCAGTGCTGCGGATCAAGATAACTATTTCCACACTCTGCAAGCCAACAGCTCTGTCATCCATAGGATTAGTCATTTGCTTTTGATAATGATTTCATTTTGTATGGGTTTTACATACGAGGTTATACCTATGAACACCTCCGAGAAGATTTTCTATTTCTAAATCACTAGGCACATTTCTGCCCTACATAACAAAAACGATAAAGACAGAACTGGATTCTGGATCTTGGATAGATCAAAACACACACAGAGCTCCTCTCGGTACCTCTTGCACGCCTTCCTTGAAGGTCTCTGAAAAGGTAGAGTCCGGCGTTCGCCTCTGGGAGTTCTGCGGCTGGGTGTTGGAATTGAACTGGTCAGGAGTGAGGTTCCTGTCGAACACCACCACCCGCTCGGGGGGCTCGGGGTGGTAGACGCTCGGAGGGATGCCCACTGCAAAGCCGTGGGGCTGCGTCTCCGTTTTGATGGAATGCGTGGGCATCGTCGCAATCGAGACAGTGACCGTCGTGTCAGGGGTTGTGAGGTGGCCTCTCTTGTCCATGCCCATCTGGGGCGTATGAGGAAGGACAATATTGAAAGGTACATTTTTCAGAACTTGGACTCTGTTTTCTCCAGTGGAAATCAGTGACTGCTCTGTCACGTTTGGGATGCTGTTCCTTTAAAAAACAAGGAGGAAAAACACATTAATTTTACAGCTCGTTTTCTCATTCCACAATAACCAGAAATACTTTCCAGTCTTTTGGACAAGGACAGCTGATACAAACTCCGGTGTTTGCAAAGAATGGCTCCACCCTAACCTGAAAAATGGAGAAAAAATAAAAAAAGAAAAAGAAATCCTCACCCACTGCTAACAACTCCACCCTGGAGATGAATTACCCTGGAGCAAAGAGTGAGGGAGGATTCACTGCCCAGATTCTCGCTGTCTGGAAAACAGCAGTCCAAACCCAAGCACTGAGGCTTCTCTCACCTCACATCAGCACGTGCAGCCTCACACCAGGCTGCATGAAACTGCTCTCTGGTGGATGAAGGGGGATTGAGAGTAAAGTAGCAGTTCCTTTGCCATAGGATTGTCTGCCACTCAAGAAGAGTTCAAAGAGAAATTGCAGCCCTCTTTCACATACAGCCCCTCAAGAAAATCCACATCAAAACTCCCCAGAATGGTTTACGTAGCTTCACACTCTTATTGCTGCCAGGATGCCATTTACATCTGTGGTGAGCTGACCTCACAGCTAGCAGCCACTAAGAGTCAGCCCTCCCTTCCTTTCTCCCTCCCAACAATGCAGTCCTGCCCTCTCCAAAGCACCAATCAGACACTCCCCCATCCTCTTGGTGAGCCAGTTTGGCTTGTTCAACTGACAGCAAGCTAATCACTTCTTTCTCCTGCTAGGTTATGGGTCAGTAGAAGACTACATCTCATGCTAGGGGAGCAGCGGGAACACACGGCTGGGAACTAGACTGCTCTTCTCAACAAAAAGTCATTCCATCAGCTCAGCCAGATCACAAAGCCTCACCACAGGTCCTGAAGATGTTCTTATCTTCTAATCGGTCCAAAGGAAAGGATGGTGGAATAGGAAGCTTGAATGAACTTCACGTGCACAGTATTTACCTAACCAGTATCATCTGCTTCAAGTAGAGAGGCACAAGACAGAGAAAGCGGGAAGATGAAGAAAGAAAGCAGTTTCAGAGGATACAAGAGAAGTCCACAAACAGCATAAAACCAAACTAAATCCCAAGCGCTCCGAAATCCCTCCCTACCAGCCCATGCATAAGGGAGCAACACCGCTGTTGCCCGACACCAACATTCCCAGTGCAGAGCTGAGGAAACCACATGCAAAAACAAAAGGGTCATCAGTCACCTCTGTGAGCCTTGGGAAGGGAAACCTGTGTTACCAGATGGTGCCCAAATTTCAGGAAAGCAGCTTTTGCCAAGCAGATCATGAGACAAGTAGACAGAAAGCAGATGGATGGCAATGAAAAGCAGTTAGGGTCTCAGCTCTCCACAACTCGGTGCGCTCCCTTCCCATTCCTAGTGCAGACAAGGTAACGTTCCTTCAGAAGCTTTGGTGGAAAGGGGGATAAGCAGACACACAGTACTAAAAACTGATACCTTTTGCTATGATCTTGGTCAGGATGTTCTACCTCTGGTTTAGCTGTTGAAGATCTCCTCTCCCTTGGAACCTGGGAAATACAGCACATGCTATAATTGCATTCTTCCTTCCATATATATATTTAAAAAAAAAAAAAAAAAAAAAAAAAAAAAGCACCTTCAAACACAGCCATTAAAGCTCTTCCCCTTGTTTGGTCAAATTAAGAAAGCATCACTCTTTGATACCAGTCATTATTACATTACAGCCTGACTGATGGAAACACAGCTGCTTTGGAACACCAGGCCCATCCCATGTGCTGTTCAGCAGATGCTGCTGTCAGCAACCCAGCCAGCATTAGATTGTGCTAAAAACAAAGGAAAAGCGGCACTCAGGAGCTGGACACCAGCACGGAGCTAAAGTGGACCAGAAGGTAAATCCTTAAGTTCCCAAAACCACCTAAGGCTTCGCTTCTTCCTTGGGGACCTGGAATGTGGGAGGCTCAAATGGTGCTCCCAGTAGCAGCAAACTCATTTCTTGGCTCAGCAGCACCTTCCAATGGGGCAGGCATCCCCAGAATCACAGAATCTCCCGGGTTGGAAGGGACCTCAAGGATCATGTAGTTCCAACCCCCCTGCCTAGCAGGGCCACCAAACGTACACATTCAGATCAGGTTGCCCAGGACCCCGTCCAACCTGGCCTTGAACACGTCCAAGGACGGGGCATCCACAACCTCTCTGGGCAGCCCGTTCCAGGGCCTAACCACTCTCCTTGTAAAGAACTTAATCCCCAGCCCTGCCCCAAAGAGATTGCCCCCACAGCCTCTGCTCAGAGAGACTATGGAGACATTTCAGAGCAGAAAGCAGAGCCTTGGACACATGCTCATTTTGTGGTGGTTTTCAGTGCAACTCACCCCACAGCCATTGGTGACAGGCTGACCCTGAGCACAGCCGAACAGCCACAGGGCAGAACAGGCTGGCTCGCCCCCTCTGCTGCATGGTTAAACCCACATAAGTCCCTCCACAAACAGACACATGGCGGTCAGGGCTTTTGCAACCCTCAGTGTACCACCTGAATGATTAAAACAAACATCTTCCTGTGCAAGGGGGAGCAAACCCAACTTTTTCCCTTGCTGAAGCCTGCACTACAAGCGCGTCTGGTCGCTGCTTGTATTTGCTAGCTCAGGTGCAATGTGAAGAATCACCACTTTACTGCTAATTAACTCTAATGCTGGTGACATAACTGCATGAAAAGCATACTTTTCTTAATAGCCCCGACTAAAGCCTAAACCCCAGCTGTTCCACACAACATGAAATCTCTACCAACACCAGAATTGGTTATGCCACAGTCAACTGCAGAATTCTGAGAACCTCTGAATGAAGAGTACTGATGATAACTATTTATTGTAAAAACAAAGCTCTTCCAAATTGCCTTTGGACAAAAGTCTAGACCTGCAGAATCCAGATTTTGACCAAGCATTTATTTCCTGTGAGGCACCAACAGAATTATCACAGCAGTCCATTAGTCAAATGGAAGTCAATTTAAGCCCAGTTGTTTGCTTTTTTTTGTGCATTTAGATCTTTTTTGTGAATGTTTGTTTTCCAGTGGTTTGTTAGTTTTTATTTTAAATATAAGACATTCAGAGGTGATCTCACCAGCTGCTTTTAATATTGCAAAGAAGAGGAGGCGTATTCGGAATGCCTAGACGCTGTCCCTCCAGCATTACTTCATAACAATAAATCTTTCAACCTCCAGCCATTCTGCCTCACACAAGTCTGCCAAATACCTGTTTTTCCACTGATTTTTCTACACACCTACTGGTATCCAAACATGAAGAAACCCCAAACTAGACAACTAGACACGAATGTGGAGCAAATCCCTACTGCTTTGCTAAGCGTGAAGCAACGCTGACACTCTCTTTGTAACATACAGATTTTGATATCAAAGTAGACTTAGTGGATTAAAGTTGTTCTAGTATTTGTGGGGGGATTGGAGGGGGGAATTATTGTGAGTTTTTTCCCCCCTCCTCGAGAGCATAAAAAGCACAAGCACAAAGCAGAAGCACAAAAACTTTCTCACAAAACTGGCTGGATAACATTCACACCAATGAGTTTGTGGCATTTTGTCGTGCACGTAGAGCACTAATCTCCATATTAAGCGTTACAAGAATATTTTGATATTTAAGGCATATGCAATTCTCTTTTCTAAGCAAGAACACAATACAGAATCACAGAATGGCCAGGATTGGAAGGGACCTCAAAGATCATGAATCTCCAATCCCTCTGCCACATGCAGGGCCACCAACGTCCACATTTAATACTAGACCATACAAAGAAAGCAACCTCTCCCATGATTTGAGGAATATACCAAGGCTGGCAGGCACGCTCACGACTCTTCAAAGACACTAACCACAACATCAGGCAGCAGAACCAAGGCAGCCTTCTGGTGTCCCTGCCTGCTCAGCAAAGAGCAGACAGGCATCTCCATGTGCTGAGCCAGGCCGCTGTGCACACGCAGGTCATTCTCTGCATGCAACTGCCTGCTGCTCTCCACTCACTTGAACTCTATGGTGAATAAAACCACCCCATCTTACATGTCTAATATGTAGGGAAGAAATGAAGCATATTCCAGGCCAATCAGGTTATCCGTGAGAATACAGTAAGGTAAATGTCTCTGAGAAGACCCTGAATACTGGAGAAGATGACCATGGCTGTCCAAGGACTAACAGATTATGGCAGCAGAAGCTCACCAAAAGTTAGAGGGACACAGGCAATAAGCTCTTTGGAATGACAACCCCACACACAACAGAAATCTGTTATCTGTAGCTTCAATTGATTCACAGCAGAACATAACAGCCCCAGCAAAAGCCAGCTGTCAGTCCCACCAGAACAGGCATCACAAAGCAAAAAGAAATGCGTATTTGTACTCCAGACAGACAACTCCGAAGTCTCATTCTCCACTATTACGAACGATACATTGTCTCCTCCAGAACCCAGAGTCAACCTAAAGGCAAAGCCCTATTACTGAGGCTTTTGACCCCCCCACTGCAAGTTCTAGACAAACTTAATTTACTTTGTTAAAGAGAAATCAATTTTCAGGAAAGAATTTTATTTTTTTTTAATTAAATTTGTAAAACATACAGATTCAATTCCCCATTCATGGCTTCTACAAAAATCCTTTGCACAGGCAGTGTCAGAGCCCACCCCTGCCAACCCACCTTGTAGTAATCATACAGCAGTCCGAGGGCGGCTGCGCTGTCCTCATCGCCATTGATGCTCATCATAGCTTTGGTGGCTGCTGTAAGGGGGTTTTCAAGAAAGGATTTCCAGGCCTCATCTTCACTGGTGTAAGGACGTCTCTGGGAGTAGAGAGAGTCATTCTGAAGAACCAACACGGGTCTTTTACTTGAATCGTGAAAAAGAAAAAGAAAAAACCCACACCTGTTAGAACACATGAAAAACATTCTTCAAGTTCTTCAGTGTTACCTGCCCCAGTTTCACAGGGTTCAGGTTCTGATTCAGTGCACGGCAAGGATTAGTCAACACAAAAAGCCCAGAAATCTAATTCTGATCTCACTCACGCTCTGCATACATGGGGATTACTTGGACCAAACTCAGCTGGGTTACACCAGCCTGCACACAATCACAGCACTGCCTCAGAGCACCACAGACCCGCCAACACTGAATCCAACCCAGAAGCCATACGTGCTCACTGACCTGCCACCTACCAAACCTCCAGCACACCTACATAACACTAGCGAGCCATGACCTGCTCTAGCTCCCATGTGGGACTAGGAAGTACAAATTAACCTAACATCTTTCTCCCAGAGCTTTGCAAAGGCAGCAGCCAGCAGCTGCCAGTGAGTTACAGACTGCATGGGGAAACCAAGTCAGTGCAGCACTCACTGCTTCGGGCAAGTGAAGATCTACTGCCTGCTTATCACTGAAGCATCTGTGACCCTAGTTTTAAACAGCATCAACTGGGAAAAAAACAAACAAACAAACAACCCCAAAACACTACAGACCTGCTGATGTAGCATATTGAGAACCTGGACCTACTCTGTTTTCTGATTGCTGCCAAGAAGTGAAAGTGGGACCTATGCAGAGCATGCTGCCCCACCAGCTCAGGCCACAGCACATGCTCTGGCTTTGTTGGTGGGACAAGTGCTCCAGCTTTAAGGTCAGCCCAAGAAAGAGGTCAGAGCTGGCTTTTAACCAAGCTCGGTTTTCTTCCCAGTGCAAGCACAACGTCCATTTCCTAGATTGGGTCGAATGGGGGACATTTTTTCATCTTCTAAAATAATTAAAAACTTGAATGTTTAATGGATTGGTAATAGTTATTGTTTAAAAAAAGCGAACAAAAAAGCAAAAGCCACCACCACCAAAGCCACCCCACCCTCACCACCACTGTGCCCCTTCCCCAGAACAGGATTCTTTTTATCTGCTCTTTACTCGGATGCATTCAGAGACCAAAATATAATACAAATACAAAAAGTTGTGAAACACAAAGTTGTGAAATACTCTAATCACTATAATCAGCTTAACAGGATCCTGCATTTATCACCACCTTCCACCAAAAAGATTGCCAAGCACTTTGTAAATGATGCGTCCCATTGGTTACACAAGTGGTCTCACCAGCCTCAATGGGACACCGGGCTAGGCTTCAGCAGCTGGAGCGAGGGGAAGTTGCCAGGGTTTATATGAGCACTTTGTACCTATAAAGCAGCATCAGAGCAGGGGAAAAAGCAAACAGAGAAGCCAAGCTCTCCCAACACTTCTCGAGGTGTTTGCGCAGCTTTACCCTGACACCCTCCCACTGAAACGCAGATTCTGCCAGTACCTGGGACATCCACTTTCTACCACAGACTGGACAACAGAAGACAAGGTGAGCTTTCTTTAGGAACACGGCACAAGTTCCTGTTCTTATACTTCACAATGAAAGAAAACTCAAACACCTGTAGCGAATGGGGAAGTCCTCAAGCAAAGTCGCTTGCAAAGAAAAGCTGACAGCAGCAGCGCACACACAGGGCCACGTCTGAGGGCCACGGCATCACTGGGAATCAGAGGGAACCCAAGGCTCAGCGCTGCCACAGCCACGAGCTCCAGATCCCAGAACGACGCGTTTCCGTGCCAACTGCCACACACTCGTTGCCCTGAAGGCAACCGACCCCTTCAAAGAGGGGGAAAGAACAGAGCTTGGCAGTGCCACAACAGAACCACAGCTCTTTTAGGTAAACGCGAACGTATTAACGAGAGTAAAGCAGCTCGTCCTTCTCACGGCGCTGGTTTGGACACGGCAGCACGCGCAGCTGCTCCCGAGCCGCAGGTGTCCCCGGCAGGGCACGGTAAGTCGCTCAGGGCTGCCCAGACTTCGTTCCGTCCTCATCTGCTGAGCGGCACCGCAAATAGAAGAGGTGCCACGGCGCCCAGGCGAAGGGCTGTAGAGCCGGCGTTCCACAGAGAGGCGCCGAGCTCCGCAGAGAGCCCAACGCCTTCTCAAGGAGTCACAGAATCCTCGGAGTCGGAACGGACCGCTAAGGGCCATCTCGTCCAACCAGGCCACCGCGGCCAGACCGGCTCGCCCAGGGCCCGATGCAGCCCGACACAGAAACCAGCGCCCCGTTCCAGACGCCGGTGACTTCGGGCTCACCGCGTTAGCGCCGGTCACAGCGACGGACGCGCGGCTCCCTGCCGGTCGAGCTATCGCCGATAAGCTGCGAGCACATACGGATGCGGCCAACAGCAGGAACGCCGCTCTCTGCCCGACGCGACAGCAGCCCCGGCCCCCCGAGGCGCGGCCGTTACCTGCCGAAATCCACCTTGCCGGAGGGGTGCGCCTCGTAGAAATCCATGGGGCCGCTCCAGCGCCCTCCGCCGCGCGCGGAGCCCAGGCGGGGCGGGCCGTCAGGGGCTCAGGCGGCGGCTCCCGCCCCGCCGCACCGCACCGAACAGTGCCGGGCCCGGGGCCGCCGCCCGCCTTTAAGGCGCGGTAGGGGGCGGGAGGCGGACGGCGGCGGCGCTGCCCCACGCCCGGCGGCGGTGTCGGGTTTCAAAGCGGCCCTGCCCCGCCGCTCGCCGTCGATGATAAGGGCGGAGGGAGAAGGGCGGGATGGCCGCAGGGGTCGCGCCACCGTCCCCCTCCCGCCGCGTCGCGCCGCCCCCCCGAGGCGACGGAGGGGCGGCCCCCAGAACCCCCCGCGCAGCGGCGCTTCCCCAGCTCCGCCACCCCCCGACCCCCGTAGGCGGCGCCGGTCGGACCGGACGCGGCTCCAGCCCTCCCCGCCCCGCGCAGCTCACTTGTCGTAGTCTTGTGTCATGTCTGGCGGAGGCAGCGGGCGTCGGAACTGGCCCGGCGGGTCGGGAGGACGCGGGGGCGAGCGGAGAGAGCAGCGCGCAGCCCGCCGCACCGACGGGTTCTGGCGGCTTTTCTCGCCCGCTCAGGTGGCTCCAGCAGCCGCAGGTGGACGGCCGCGGAGGGACGCCTCCCATTGGCTGCCGGCGGCGAAGGGGCGGGGCCGCCGCGCCCCATTGGGCGGTCGGACAGGAGAGGGCGGGGCCCGCGGCCGCGCGGGGTCGCGGCGCTGAAGCGGCTGTCGGAGCAGAGGGGGACGGGGGCCGCGGGTAACGCTTCGCCCCGCGCGGGCGGGAGCTCCGGATCCGGCTGGGTCAGCTGCTGCGCCGAGGCAAAAAAACGGCCGTCCGCCCTTCGCTGCACCTGCTATGGGGCACGGAGCGCGGAGGGGCGACGCCACGCGCAGCAATCGAAGAATGTGGGTCTCTCCCTGGGAAATACGGGTGGGAGGCTGCCGTTCAGGTAATGAGTTGAATCGAACCCCGAGCAGCAGCAGTGCCGTCTGTCACATGCCCGGATGCTGCAGACAAAAGCGGGCACAGTAACGGAGCTCTCCTGGGTCAGCAGCTCTTCCCGCTCGGTGCAGGGCACACAAAGCAACAGCAGGGCTTTCAGGCCAGCCCAGGCACAGGCAGAAAAGAGGGAACAAACTTTCACCCAGGGGCTAATCGTGGACCTTGGGTAACATCGTTGGACCAGATTACAGCTGGCATCCAAGAAGCAGAACGCTTTGCTTGGATCTGCACACGTCGCCATCGGCAGGCAAAAGGCAGATCGGTGGAGGGCCGTGCTCTGAACTGAACTGAACTCAGCTTGGTGGCTCTCTGTGGCAGAACTGTTGGAAAGCACTGCCACCTTCCTCTGGTGCCATTTGTTCCTTACACTCTCCACTTCTGTTCTTGGAGCTCTGGGATGTGTACACAGCATCATCTGGCACGCGTGTGCACTTTTCATGAACAACCAAATACAGCACGCAGCTCCCAGCGAGCCAGGTTCTGCACGTGTTGAAGCTCAGTCACCTCTTTACATCACACCCAAATTGCTGAAATCTCAATAGCATACCACACTTGGCACTTGTGCTTTGCTAAAATACACCGAGGTTCTATTCCAGATAAGTCAAAGCTGTTGCCTCTGTGAAAGGACTGCTCTTCCTAACTGCCTGATTCACTGATGAAAACTTCAGCTGTCGATGCAGCAATCACTTCCACATTCAGGAGACAATGATACAAACATGGATTGTGACACCACTGACTAATCTGCCGGTCACAATCTAGACTGTAACACCACAGGTAGGTGTATTTCTGTGATGTCATTCACCTGATTGCATCATCAGTGGATAAAATCAGGCAAGCACCACAAAGGGATTTAGGAGAGCTTGGGCACAAAGCCATGCCGGCGTGATGCAGCAGCACACTGGCAGGACTTTCCTTGCCGTGTGCTGGTTGGTGTTCACTTCAACTTCTTCCCTTATTCAGGCCTTTCAATGTCACTCAACGTCACTGCTCTCCTCCACTCTTATCCCTTTCCTTTACAACTCTTCCTCAGTCCTGCCTTTGTTGTTCTCCTTCCCTCCTTCACACTTCCACTTCCTTTTAAGTGAATCCCACTCAGAACACATACAGAACCCATCAGGAGCCACGTACTGTTTGCCACCACCTGGTCAAGCACCATCTCAGCGCGCTGATTTCTTTTCCGATTCTGTCTTTGACATCATCATCTAGAGAAACTAGGAATTGTTCTGCATGAGGATTAGCTACTGTTCTGACTTACCCAACAAGGTTTTAAAATTTCACACAAGATAATTACCATCTACGTGCACCAGCCGTTCACACCTGTGTAACAAACAAGTTGCATCAAATTTGTAACAGTATTTTTGAAACAAGTGGTCAAAACAAGATCTTTTTCTATTTAATTTGAACCGCTAAGATATTAGGGCCAAGCTGCAGAACTGGCTGTAATGAGTATCGAATTTTCTGTACTTCATTACACAGTACATCTGCATTAGGCCAGGTGGTTTCTGACCATAGAGACAGAAAAGTAAGCCTCAAGTGATCACACTGACTCCTGCAGCATTAACCTGAAGGCACCAAAGGGCTGAAAAAAGGAGAAAAGCCCAGGCAGAAGTTCAGGAGCTCAATAGGAAGTGAGGTAAAAGCAGACACAATGGGAAGAAAGAAGCAGACAAGTGACAGTGGCAAGGGATGCTGGAATGCCTTCTAGGGAAAAACTGGAGAAAAACTGTAAAGAAATTAATGAAGACCAATTGTGTGCAATAAAAAAGAAAGTCAATCACATTGTGTTTCAGTTACATCTTGCTAGCACTCTCTAAAAATCAGATTTCCCCTTTTCATTCTGTATTTAGCCCTAAAGATAACGTAGAAACTGTTCAGAGACCGCAGACTGTTCAGGAGATGTTACTCCTGTTACTCCTTTGACAATGACAAAAATCACTCAATTTTACCACAGCCTACATATAAAAAGAAGTGAACCCAAAGTCTAGAACTTTGTATCAACAACACCTTTACCATGATAACCAGCCTCACTGAACATTTTTCATCTCTAACAGCATTTCCTTTGGATTAGGCTTCCTTGTATGTGGGGTGACAGTGCTGTAGCAACAGAACAGCGCGTGCAGTTCTTTCCCTGCATGCTGTTCTCTGCCTAATCTGCTTTGCTCCACAGCAAAGAAAGCACTCAGCTGCACAGGCAGGAGTTACAAACACCACAGAGATCACAGAGATGAGCCACCCTTCAGTAAACAAAGTGTTTTGTTGCAGTCTTGTATTGAAATGGCACACCTCACTGAGGCTGATGAGATGCAGAGTCCTGCTGAGAACCTCAGCAACCAGCCTCTCTGCAGCCCCTACCCACAGCCCTCAGGAGCCCTGCTGGAGGCAGGCAGTGCTCAAGCCCACGGCCCATGCAGATGTCCTCCAGGAAAAGGCAGCACAAAAGCATTCCCTGCTCTGGTTTTTTGGTCGCAACATAGACACAAAGGCTGATGTTCTCACTAGGCGATGGCAGCATCTGCCACTGATGAGCAAAGCCACCACTAGGACAGCAAGGAGGTCTCTGAGCAGATAAGGAATGCTTTCGCAGTACAGAGCAGCCATGTGAGATTATCAGGAGAACTGGCTTGTACTTTCTTTCCAAAGCACCCGAGGTACTGCTGGAGGCAGGCTGCAGCTGCTGGGCAGCAGGGAGGAGCACTCTGGCTCTCAAAGTACTGCCAGTAGCAGTTGTACAAGCACAGCTGTAACCTCTTGTGAGGACATGAGCACTCATCATCCCGTGTTCTGCCAAACCTTACTCAGTCTCTTGTTTAGCACATGCAGTGCTGAGGAAAGCTCTTTCATCTATGCCTGCTCCCACACCTTGGCATCCCCTTCATGCCTTCCCGCACACAACCAGGCCAGGAGCAAAGCAGCTTCGCAGCAATGAGACCAATAACCCTGCAGGAGATGGTGAAAGTAAGCATCCTGCTCTGAGTGCGAAGACAGAGCACTGAGACGTGCTGCTTTGGCCAATCTACGTAATATACTGGGAAGCCCATTTCCTTTTGGACCAAAATGTGAAATTCCTCGAACAAAGTTATTCTGACTCTCCCACACCTCTGATGCAGCACAAAACATCTCAGCCCAAATAGGAAAGCGATGGATTAGTCATGAAGCAGACATCTATCCAGGACTTCACATTTGGTAAGTCTTTACCTTTCCCAAAAGGCCTGTGGGTCCAGGACTTCTACAAAAGCATCCTTTTGACTACATCCCATAGTCTAAAATAACATTTCAGCAGGAGTCTTATTTATCCAGCCAGGAAGAAAACTCTGCATTAAGCATTCAGGGGAAGGAACACTAAGCTTCCCAGGAAGTTACAAGCAAGTGAGTTACTCATTGTGTTGCCTGCAACACTGCGTGAAGCTCTGCCAAATCTTCCAAACACAGCTGTTTCAAGGGACGTGCTACAAATAGGTTAGGAAAGATGTAATTACAGCAGAGCCCGTACAATACATTATTGACAATAAATTAGACTAGTGCTGCCTACAGGCACGGGACTTTGCTGATGCTCACTCTCTTGTTAAATCAAGTTCAGGGCCCTCAGCAAAAGAGGAGAAAGCCAAACATCTCTGCGTCATGTCTGGAAAATGGTACAACTTGAGAAAGAAAAAAGTACACGACAGATTAAGTTGGTCTAAGAATGCAAACACAGAGAGGCAGTGAAAAAGTAGTCAGGTAAAATTCCAATACTGTTGGCACTAACTTCCAAAGAAAATTATGTCTGATAGTTCTCCATAGAATCAATAGAAAGGTTGCTTTATTTAGGAAAAGTCTGAAAGTACGGCTGCATTTGTACTCTGAATGATAGAAAACAGCATTTAATCTAAGCTTAAAAAAAAACCACTTAGCTTTAATCTATGTAAGAACATTTGACATCTAGCGTTAAAAAAAAACAAACCAAACCAAACCTCCTCACTTGTAGACCTGAAATTCCAAGGGAAGAAATACAAAAACATACATGTCAGAAAGCCCAGGGAGAACTCTCAGCAAAGAGCTACAGAAAGGAGCAGTACTTCCAGGCAGGAGGAAGAGGCAGCTGGAATGGGCTGTGGCAGCCACCCTGCCCTGCAGCCACTGCCTGCAGCTGCTCAGCGCCTCCTCCCCAGGGTTACACTCATTGGACCCAAAGCAGTTGTCCCAAGAGAGCTCAGCTACACTCCGCTGAAGATAAGGCACTCCTGTGGTTCATCAGCTTCTTAAACACCATTACTCCGGCGTGAGCATTGATTGATTAAACTGGGTAGAACTAACATTCAGTATTTGAGAGGCACACCCTTTATTTTTAAATCTGACTCTTAACCTATGTGTCCAGGAGGCACATGGCTCCTGATGCTTAATTGGAAGCTTTATTCCAGTTTATTAAAGTACAACTTTAATTTATTCTAACATCTAAGGGAGCTTTGTTACATTTGTAACAATGTAACGAGTACAGGATTTTTAATTTATGAAGCTGAGATTTTACTACTACAGTAGTTTTAAAATAAGCATGTACCTGTAATTAGGTGTGTAAGTCTTTCAAAT